AGAGAAAGAGAAGGATTGAACAAAAAAGATAAATTAATAGATAGAGAGAGAGAGAGAGAGAGAGAGAGAGAGAGAGAGAGAGAGAGAGAGAGAGAGAGAGAGAGAGAGTAAGATAAAATGATAGATTGATAGATACAGAAGGGAAAAATAAAACCCTAGATAAATACGTTTAGTTAGAGAATGATAGAGAGGGAGAGAGAAGGATAGAACAAAAAAGATAAATAATTAGATAGATATTGAAAGAGAGAGTAAGATAAAATGATAGATAGATTGATAGATACAGAAGGGAAAAATAAAACCATAGATAAATACATTGAGTTAGAGAAAGAAAGGGAGAAAGATTGATGGATTCATTTAATTCATTGATTTATAATGTTTATTAATTTTTGTTGAATAATAATTTAATCATAATAAAAAATAAAAGATAAAAAATAACGTTAAAACGTAAAATCTATTAATTTCCGAAATAATTAGCTAAACTCTAAAATAATTGTGTTAACCTGTTTAAATATGAAAGTAAATAAAGTAGTAATATTTCTGTTTCGTATAGGTTAGGATTCGATTTAATATCGAACGATTTTATAATTGTTATTTTTTGGTTCTGTAATGGTTGTTCAATATTGTATCGGTTACAAATCGATTCGATACTATATCCTTCTTCAATAATTTAGTTTTCGTTTTTTTATCAGCTATATTGTTTTATTTAATATTTACTATGGTTCGGTTTGTTTTATAAAACTTTTATAACTATTACTTTTCGGTTTTATATCAATAAAAAAAAGTTTTATACACTTTTCTATCAATTTCATTTCAATTTTAACGAATCAAAAATCGAAACAAATTTCAGTGAGAATATTTATATTCGTAACAATTTGAAAATACTATTTATTAGTGTGTATATGAATAGTAAAAATGCATAAATAAAATAGCTTAAAATTGTATTCGTAGTTTTAATGTTGAATAGAAATATTTATTATTATTATTATTTTATTATTTTGTTATTATTAGTATAATATTTATAACGGTTATGGCATTTTTTTACGATATTAATAACTGTTGGAGTTAAAATCAATACACGATAATTGGAAATAGTTATTTTCGGAACCATTTTAACCTCACTTTTCAACTTTGCATCCGTCATTTCCGTCTTTCTCGTCATATCGACATGAACTTGCCAATACGTTACTCGATGAATCGATGCACTCATATTTTCTTCAACTTCATATCTTTGGTTCTTTCTATTTTTTTATTTTTAGACATGACTGCAAGCAGTTATTTATGTTTTCGATATAGCTGAAAGTGTAACGGGTGATTTATGTTATGAGAGTATTTGAGGTATTCAAAAATTCTTTAAAATTTCTCTATTTTATATTTAAATCCTAAATTTATTATGTTTTTTTTT